AAAACAACGGGAGGGAAAGACTGAACACCTGTACGTGGTGGCCTCTACGAACCTGGGAGTGAAATATTCTCCCAGAGCCAAGTTCAGTCAAATTTCGCAATACCGATCAAGTTGGCCCACGAAGCAATGATTCAAAGTACACTTCCATGTCCATCTTTCACTTCCAACGGGATCGAATCCTAACTAAGCCTCATCAAGTCTGCAAGTGCGACCTAGTACATCCTCCTTCCAATGACCACACCTCTCGTCGACTTTCTCTGGCCTCAGCTGGTCGCCAGATACAAACCCACGCCGATATTTACAACCGACGGAGGAAGCAAAGCGTGGCGCACAAATCTGGGAGATAGTTCTTTGGGACGGACGTGAGTGGACTCAGGACAAGTTCACAAGATGATGCAAAGGATGCATACAGTCTCGACGGGCGTGGAATTTTAAATTTCGGCAAGGAAATTTCACAAATTGAGCTTTGTGCGTGCCAAGTCTTCAGTTGCGAGAGTGCAGGCGACACTGTAAAAACTGCCATGGTTGGATGGTGCGGTGGTACATCGTCTTGGCCGGTCTGCCAAGTAGAGTCTGGATAGCTTGGATACATATCCCACTCGAGACGGTAGATCGCTGGTTCAAATCCGGCAAAACACAACCACATTTCTCGCGCCGCTGGTATGCATGGATGACGAAGGCATGCTTGGATAACCAACGGTTTTCAAATTCCCTTTGGTGGGTACTAACGGAGGAGGGTCGACTGTTTGTGTAAGCAAGCATACCTCGTAGTGGTATTTGCGAATGAAATCCAGAGCATGAGTGTCTCTAATGTCAAAAGAGTCATCCAATATGTATACATAGCACCGTTTATGTGTCAAAGCTCCATAGCTGAATACACTTAAATGATTAAAAAAAAAAAAAAACAACGGCAGAAAGGGGCAGGAAAAGTCGCAGCAAACCAAGAATGGGCTAAATCTTGGCAAAATGAAAGGCGGCCCCAACTACCTCGACGATTAGCTATCGCCGACCCCGAGACCTGGGGAGTAGCCAAATTCTATTAGAACCAAAAGTCGGATGGATGGAAAAGAAGTCTCCAGGTATCGCCATTTCTACTCCACCGAAACTTAACAAGGGCCCAAAGAGGTCTAACAATACAAATACAAAGTGAGCATATGGGGCTCAACTCCTATTTATATAGGAGAAAAGTGCCCAGAGTCTACAGTCCAAGCTGTCCATGTGGCTACCAATCGTAGAACCCCAAGTACATGATTATGTCCTGCTCTCGATGGTCAAATGGAAGAGGAGAGGTCTGGAGATAAGCCAAAGATTGGTGTTACGAAGCTATGCCAAACAATCCTGAAGATATCAAAAGGATAACACACTGGATCCTAAATCATGGTTGAATAGACCAATTCCAAATGACAAAGGCGGTTAAGCTGCTGCTGAGGGAAAGGAACAGGTCATGCCTTTCTTGAGGCCGATATAGCTGATGTGATTTGTCTACATGGAGAGCACTATAGTTCGAATGCGCTTCCTAAAGGATACATTAGAAAAACAAAAATTAAACAGGAATGTTCGGGAGATTTTCCCCAAAAGGTTTCCTCCCTTGTAAATTAGAAAGTTTGATAAACACCTGCATGGGCCCATAGGGCGCCAAACCAGGATAATGGAATCAAATCTAAACATAGAGATTTTATTCTAGTTGGTCGCGAGGGTCAAGTCCTCTGAGGATTCGTCTGTCTCGGCGCAGGTTACGGTAAAAGTTCGCACTCAGACAAGCATGCCTCGCTTCCTCATCAAGGGCCGCAGACTCACAGTAGCAAGGACGGGGAAAAACGGGGGCTAAGATTAGATTTCATTAGAGTCCTATCTGAGTCTATGACTATGGAGGGCTTCTAGGATCTACCTGAAAGATACTAGCTAATTTTGATTTATTTTAACATGATAAATTGAAAAACGGGGGCTAAGTTACGGTGACGGAAGAGAATAGGTAGCTATTGAGTATGTTTCATTTTCGGTAGCGCCTCTGCGTTTTACTCTCATGCTTCTGGAGCTCCAACACCAAATCATTCTTCAGCAGATCCCAAAACTTGGGCAGCAGCAAAGTTCTACCAATGCCGCCATTCTAGACGTACAAAAATAAGCTTCCAGGAGTCGCCATTTTCTCTCCACAAAAACCTGACGAGGGCCCAAAGTAGCTTAGCAATCCAAATTCGAAGCGAGCATGTCGGGCTCAATTCTTGTTTACACAGAAGAAAAGTACCAGGAGTTTATCGCGCAAGTTGTCCGTGTGGCTACCAATCACAAAATCCCAAGCACATGATCATGTCCTGCCCCAAGTGGTCAATCGGTAGAGGAGAAATCTGGAGACAAGCCCGAAATCGCCCCTTTGAAGCAATGTTCAACAATCCCAGCAATATGAAAAGAATCATACGGTGGATTCTTAATCATGCTTGGATAGATCAATTACGCATGACCAACGCAGTCGAAATGCTGCTCAGGGAACGAGACGGAACATGTACAAGGTTGGGGTCGGTAGAAGGGGCGTGATTGGTACACATCGACGGCGTTACAGTGTAAATGTACTTCCTGAAGGATAAATTGCAAACTCTAAGAATTAAATCTGAAAGCTTGGGCGGTTCTCACCGAGAGGTTTCCTCCTATGTAAATATATAAAATCAGGATAATGAATACAAATCAAGACACCGAATCATCTAAACGCCATGCCATCTAAAAAACAACCGTGAACACCAGCACACCTATCTTCTCTCATTATCTTAGCGTCCAGTGAAATACACAGCGGACGAGTAGGCCTGAGATATGATCCACATACATCAATGACTTGGGCGAGATTTGTTAATAGGGCTATACCACCAGTGCTGTGCAAGGAAGTATATTATTTTGCACTGTACCAATGGATTGGCATCTATGTACCCTCAGATTTTCACATTCATTTATATAGAATAAATGCTTGGTCATGTTATGATTGATTAGTCCTACCTGACCTCATCACCTACTATCATCGACTGAACTAAGATGAATAATTTCTTCATCTTCATGACACATCGCCGCAAAAGGAATCGTCGTCGTAAGGTCGCAGCCATGGAAATACGAAAGCGAATAATCACGCCGATAAGCAGACTAGAGAACACTTAGTACTTGCGTGCCCGAATCTCTTTCTCGCCGACCCCGATTGAGGCTCACGCTACTTGGAACTGCAGTTTATAAGAGCGAGCTGTCTAGACGGTGTCGGAAATACTGCGCCCACTTCATGGCGCGATGTTGTGCATCCTGGAATGATCCATAGAGTCACGAGCCGATTGGATTTTGGATGCAGGGTACATGGATAAACTGCTGATGCCCCGTGACCTCAAAAAATCACATCACATTACACGACGACAAGAGCAGATCCCACTGGAGTTTAGGGGTGACGGATGATCGATGTATGTGACGCATACGGATCCTAAATTTAGAGGACATTAAATCTATGTTTTAGTCTCAAGCTCTACACTGAATCCGTTGTGGTTAGGAGCCGTGAGGTACCACGTGATTAACTTCGTTATTAATACAACAAACTTCATCTCTTACTTAGGTTACTCTGCACGCCCACGTACATTGTGATAGACTCAGATAGCAAGATAGTGTGAATTACCTCGCGCGCTCGGTAATATCCTCATCTCTGGAACGAAAGAAGTCGGCCAAAAGAATGACATGTTCAGATTACTGCTAGAGGGGTAGGAGTTGGGCGCTACAAGTACAGGCACGAATGTAGGCGTCACTCTTAACACCGCTATGGTCGAATGTTGCGCTGATACATCTCCTGGGCAGGTCTGCGAACTTGAGTCTTGATAGCTTGGACACCCATCCAACTTGATACAGGAGATTACTGGCTCGAACCCGGCAAAAGACAACCACATTTCTCGCGGCACTGGTGTACAAGGATGACGAAGGTATGCTAGATTTAACAAGAATTCTGAAAGCTTCCTTTGAGGAGTTGCTCATGGTGGGGAGTCGAATGTTAGTATAAGTAAACATACTTCGGTGATGTTCGCGTACGAAATCCAGAGCATGAGTGTCTGTAACGTCAAAAGAGTTATCCTACATGTACAGATAGCACTGGTCATGTGTTGTGGCTAGATAGCTAAATATATGTTAAATCTTTTGTAAAAAGGCACAGGCACAAGCTATAACATAGGCGATTGTGGCGCTATCTGGGCATAGAATTCCACCAAAAGATTCCTTGTTTCCAAGATACATAGCTGCTCACGTAACCATTAGGTAACTTGAAGCGCTACCGTACTACCTATTCAACCTCTTTTTTTTACACATGATTATATCGGGATCTCGATAGAATGAAGGGTCCATAAGTCTAGAACACCGTGCGTCTCTATTTCCAATAAATTACACCTCCGCACTCATGTCAATTGCTTATCAATGGACACTACATCCAAACGCAATTCAACTATAATTTATTAATGGCAACGTAGAACGCCTGGTACATCCGCGCCTCGATGAAGTGGTGGCAGCAGCTAACGAAGCAGTCAATACTAATACGCCCCGAACAATAAAAACTTCGGAAATCGCAACCTCTAAACTTTGAACTGCAGTCAAAATATTGGAGTCAGAAGACGAGCATAGAATATCCAGATGGCTGGTAATATATCTAGATGTAAATTTATCTCGTTTAACGTCCTCCTTTTTTCAAAAATTATTATGACGTTGCATCTCATTTCATAAATTACACAAAATCGACAGGAAAAGATTTATTCTAACCAAAGATCGATCCTGGTTTCTACATGAATTCGCTGGGTCAAACAGTTTTCAGGGTATTGAGGTGATGTGGCACTTAGATAATTGGTGTGCTACATATTAAATGTCACTAAATCTATGTCCTTATCTTTTTAAATCTAAAACCAATCTATGAGCGCTGTTATGGTGTGTGGGAACAATTTTTGCAAAGTAATCGAGACAGGACGCCAGCTATATGTTCTTTAATTTGAAAACACGTGAAGATGGATCTATCCATATAATTTCGAGTCACCTGTGGTTGGTTTAGGCTTCTCCAGTCTCAGACACCATAGGAGAAGGTCTTCCAAAGGAATCAGAAGCATTAGAATCTCGTTGCACAAGTAAGCAAATATGACGACAATTAATGCAAAGAATGCGTCCAGGTAGTAATGATTAGCCGTGGCTACTATGGTCAAAAGGATCCAAGAGGGGTACCAGATGGCAAATAGAGCATGGATAAAAGTCCAGATTTTGAAGCCCCTCTGTTTACCGCCACCTCTAATCATGCGTGAGATTCCCGAGTGATAAAGCACTGTGCAACCGATGCAAAATGCGTATCCAAAATGCATGGACGGCATAGCTGCCAAGGAGTTGACGTACTTTCCGCTCATCCAGACACTTTGCGCGTTGTTGTGGCCCACAGAGTCAAGAAAACCATACTCTCGAGGTAGTAGTCGAGGTGGCATGCATGGATAGATAATAAAAATGGAAAAAGCGAGAAGATTTGTTAAAGTCATGGTTCTTCGAACCGTTGCAAAAATTGCATGGGATGGCGCGGCATGGTAGTACCACGCAATGAAGCTAGCACAAGTTAGTAACTTGCTAGGAATGGAGTTTCATGTGCGCCTACCCAACCGTGCCTGGAATGTGAATGAGAGCGTAAGACCGATTCAATATGGTGAGGAAGGTTTGATGACCATTCATAAACCATTGCTGGACTTCATTTTCGTGTACTGGCCACAAAAACTTGAGCCATGATTGATGTTCGAGGCGAAGAATTTCTAGAGCGTTATTCTGTGCGACATCCCAAATTCCTGTTTTAGAAAAGATGGCTTGTGATAGAAGGGCCGTAGAGCGGTAAAAAGCGTAAGTGATGATCCAATAAAACATCTCCATGAGAAAAGGAAATTTTTGCATAATTCTGCTGTGTAGATGATGGGAGAAGCGAGATGAATTCGGTGTATACAAGACGATACCACAACAAGAGCGTTTCTTGGGTGGATTTCTAAGAGTTCGCGTAGAATCATCATTGTTATCATCGGAAGAGTCATCCTCTAGCATGTACTTTGTTTCGAGATCAGAGGAAGATCTAGCTGAGGTCGTCACACCATTCAAGAAACCATCGTAGCGGCGATTTTTCCCCAGGACTTTGAAGCCTCTTTTCCTGGTTAAAACCATTGATGCTACTAGGATACTTGCTACCATCTACATCAATCAGTTTCTCATCTTGAGTAGGCAGTGGATGAAGGAGAATTCACCACAGGCTCAGCCCAGCCTGGTAATTTCCACGCGGGACTGGAATTCCATTGAGGCTCGTCATGAAAGACATTCGGGCCCTCTGTTTGATTTGCCATTACGAGGATTTGGTGGCTTGACGCCGGCTGGCACTTTCGCAACAGACGCCGGATCTGTATTTGAGCTCAGAAAGCTTTAATGAACGGAATAGGTATATTAGACAGGGTTGTGGGTTGCCGAGTAATTATCCGGAATGTGGGCCAGTAATCGTGCGCACTCAGGAACCCAAGATAACTGCTGGGTAACGAGTGCATGCAGAGTTAGGCAGAGTGTTTGGGCTAACGAATGAATTTGCTTCTCAGTCTATGGGAAGCGTGGTTGCCTAGGGAAGAAAAGATGGAGAGGGAAGCAAGGACGTAGATTGGCAGGCAATTAACAGGAGACTTCAAGGCTCCAAACTATCATGCCCACTGGCAGATGATCCAAACCGGTGGGCGGTGACGAAGAGTGTGTGGTAAGTGAGACTACACTGAAATTGTGTTGTGCTTAGCAATTTGCCCAAGGGGGATTATGATCTTCGAGTTACAGTTGTGATCAGCAGGGTATTCTCAATAATATCCTTTATATTTTGCCTTGTTGGACCCCGTAATTTCATGTATCCCTCCCCATGATTACTAAGATTCGCTAGTGCTCGCCCTTGAAGTGGGTCGACAATCCAGACTTCTGTGCGAGGGAGCCCAGTCCTCACTTTTGACAACCTCAGCCTCATGCTCGGGATTAAGATATTTTTACGAAATGAATCTCGCGAGACTCTCTCGGTTGGGAAGAACTACGCTCAGGCGCCATGAATACTTACACGTTGAAAAATGGGCATGTGGGTGGAAGAGTTAAATACACAGACAAATTCCTTGATGCAAGCTCTGGCACGAGATAATTGAGCAGGAACTGTTGGATGAACGGCATTTCATGTCAGTGTTTCGTTGCAGTGCCAAAATACAGACTATAGCGGTGAGATCAGTGGACTATGGCAAACCTCGTTGTCAAAAAACACGCATGCCTCTTAGTGAACGTGTCACGAATCGAGACCTAATTGGTATCAAAGCCCTGTGATAGCTATGATATTCTAGCATTGTTCTACGCCAGTCCAGACTCACATCTGGAACACCCAATCACTGCAATAACGTCGCCATGAGGCTGAAACTTTACAGCAATAGAATTTGCAGCGCCCCTGCGATGGTCGGGTCGTCTGAGGATCAGTGGAGCCAACAAGGGATCAACTTTTCTGAAGCATACCCGACGTAGTTCAGTTGAACTATAGCTGGACGCTTTTTGATTTGTCGCCACGCCTAGCCATTGCACCCAGAGAGTCGACCTGGATGCATCGAAGCATACGCCGAAATTCCCATGGTAGCTGTGCCTAACAATGTACGGCGACGGCAGTATTGGGGGCCGACTGCGAATCAAGCTAACTGACCCTAACAAGTCCGGCGATTAGTCAGCATGGGGGGAAATAACATGGTCAATGCGCGCAACTATAATATTGCGCAAGGCGGGAGTTGACATGTCGTGCCCGTTTAGCCTCTCGCTAGTTCACACAAGGGCAATCGGCTGGCTCCCCCACGTCGTTCCCTGGCGGGCATCCAACTCCTCTCCGACTGCCAAGTCACCGAATCCTTGAGCCTTCTCTTCTTCACTGACAATTGCTTCGCCGAGTGAAATTTCATGGTGGTTGCCCGGGTCTAATAGTTGCCATGAGCTGGGGCATATTTTAAGGGTTAGTTGATAGCAAGGAAGTACCTCATATAAGGGGTCTGGTGACCTGCACCAGGGTAGGGATCCACAATTGATATGCGTCTAATCACTGTTAGCAGTACTACAATGCTGTGTAGACGACTGGACGTGCGCATGGTGCGGTATGATCGAGACCTTTGAAGCTCCATATCTCACCCGTGAAATAAAGTAAATTGAGACCATCTGCACAGCGGTACGGGCCGTGCTAAACACTCCAATGAGGTTATCGTGCACGCCGCTAAAGTGCAGGAAATAGGAAGAACTCATCGACCTCATTGCCTCAATCTGTCTTATGTGTGTGTTTTATTGTACTACTTGAGTCTATGACTATCTAGCACATTGGGCTCCACTCTGACCCAGGCCACACCTTGTACAGTGCTCCTATCCTCTTTTGTTACTTGAAAGATCATTGATATATTCCCCTTGATGAATAGCCATTCAGCTCAGTATTTACCCGTGGAATTCGGCCACCTTTTCCACGGAACCTTCTACCCAAGAAAATAAAAATGGTAGCAATGGAAACTGCGTGCGCCGGAAAAAAGTCTCAAAAAACCTGCAGCCCCAGCCAGGCGAGGCCTAGATACCTGGACCATATGAGGTGCGCATATTCATCTATGTCTCCCTTCTTTCTAGCAGTCGAGGTCGACTTGATCCAATCCACCATCTCCGTATCGGGTGCTGGGTACGCTCCGGAAACTCATCGGATGGCTTTTCCTCCATGATCGAGGGTGGGTGACGAGTAGGGCTCCGACCCTACCATCTGATCTGATCGTGGTTAGCTTCATGATAGTGGTGATAGGGGAATGTGCTGAGAGATGAAGACGATACAGACCGCGAAAGCGATTGGGAATCCTCGTCGAAGTGAGGACTTTGTCACTCAATCTCGGCTCTGCAGACTCTACAGTGAGTGCTGGAGGTTCGTAGGGGACACCACTGACAGATGTTGAGAATAGTCCCCCTCAATCTGTCTTTGTCATAAGAATTGAATATATGACCCTGTCATCGGGCAATAGCCTTGTGTCTGACATGCACATGCAGCATATTGGTCAGGGTAGGTCTTGTGCCCTAGAATAACTCACATATGGCCACTTTATCCATTGCTACCAATAATCTGAATTCGATAGTCAGGTCAGTTCCCTGGTCCCTTCAACAATTCGAGACGATATTCTTCCATGTCTGCAGCGTCAATTCCATAGATTTCTCCGCGGAAAATCTGAAACAGCGTAGAAGCTCCTTGAAGAGACACAGAACACTTTCCAGAAGGACTCACACAGGCTGTACGATGCAAGTTCTAAAACATTGCTTGACTTGAGTGTCACTCATGCCGTCATCTCTGCTCTTACCAAGGCCTTCAAGTTATCAGTCCTTCTGTCACAATTTAAAGTCCGTGTAGTCACTCCCAGTAAAGCTTGAAAGAACTATTAATACTTACAATTGGATGTTTTAACCCCTCCCATAAGAGAAAGAAAATCAGCGATTGGTCTACAGGGAACATACAACTTTGTGAATAGATTGATGTATACCGAACTTGGGACGAAACCGACAAAGAAAATTGAATGCCAACCAAACACAGGCACACTATCCATGGTAACGATTCTCCTAATAACCCCGTAACAAATTAGTGAAGTATCACTTAGGTCCTAACTTGGAATGTCACCTCAAAGAGACCATGACTTTCCAGGTCAAGTGAATGACAAGTAACGAAACATTTTTTCAGCATTGCTATATTTTAGTCCACTGGTGATTTTGTCTAGGCAGCCTGACCGTGCAGCTATCCAGAGCAGACGAGAATCAATACATACAATTACAGGTCCGAACGGCAAGACAATCTAATTCGTTGATGTTCGACGAATTGATTGCTCTCTCGTTCTTACTCTGAGAATATCTAAAATTTGATCAAGGAGCATTGTCGTCATTTTGAAGTCATTCAATGTACAATCAACTATCTAGCTATAGTGCACAATGAATGCTATACACATGCCTTGAAAGAAGTTCTGAATTCAGATACACTCATATTCTGAATTTAATTCGCGAGTACCACTACAAGGTATGCTAGCTTACACAAACATTCGACCCAGCTCTATCAGTACCAACAAGAGATAAGTCTTAAAATTTTGACTATCCCAGCGTGCCTTTGTCATCAATGAACACCAGCGCCGCAAGAAATGTGGTTGTATTACGCCAGATTCGAACCAGCAATGTCCCATCTCAACTGATGTAAGTGCAAGCTACCTAGAATATATTTGACAGTTCCGCCCGAGCAATACACTACAGCATTATCCAACTATGGCGGTGTCGCGGTGTTGCCTGCACTCCCGCCATAAAAGGTTTGGGTCACAACATACTCTTAAATTTGGACATGTCACCCCTTTCGAGATCGTATTCATCCTTTGCGTCAACTTTTACACTTGTCATGACATCTCCCTTGTTTGCCGAAGATCTGACTCCCAGGTTTCAGCACCAATATTTAACTTCTGTGGGCATTCGTGTGATATGGGCGAGTTCTTGTTGAACAGCCCAGGTCAGTGAATAAGTCAATGAAAATTGTAATCAGTCGAATGAGAGTGTAATAGGTCACACTTGCAGACCTGATGAGGTTTCGGCCAAAATTAACCTTGTTCGTAGGGCATGATTGGCGTGGTATGGAGCCTCAAGTCATGATCTCATGGCGACTTATTCCACAATGCGTATTTCATAGATATATGTTATGGCAGATCATCTTGCATCTAGATTCGAAGCGGATAACGCCTAAATGCATTGCTATGGTGATGATGATTTATTTATCGTGCCAGGCTTACACTCTCCATCCAATGGACGTGACCCGCATGGAGGACATCTAGAATACAAGTTCCTCCATTCTCCAGCAAAGCCCATCCAGTGCCTGACTTTTCCAAATACGGGCCTCACGCTAGTTGGATCGGGTCGAATAGGTAAGAACACATTCACCACGATCCTAAGACCATGTATTGAGGGAAAACCTTCGTGGGAAAACCTTAATAATTCCTCCTGTACTCTTTCACGACGAGCAGCCGTAGTCCCCCCCTAAACAGGCCGTGTAGGAATCCAACCTATCACTTCTAGAAAGCACACCCAGCACCCGACCAACTGTGCCAACAGCCTGTTGAAAATCACATATCGCTCTTCCCAAATTCTCCCCTGCATTGCGCTCAAACCCCCATTTGAGAGGGCTGAAATTCAGAGGCATCGGTGCCCCAGCTTTTGTCGTACATTGTCCGTTGTCTGGGTGAGGCTTCTTCGTTCGCGCCGTCTTTGGAACGTGTCGAAAGGTTGAGAATGTTGATGTCGCGGTCGAGGTGCTTGCCTAAAA